CCACCAGTCACAGCGCGAGAACTGCCTATGCTTCGCAGGCAGAGGAAGCTCTTGCCGAAGCTGTGCAGCGACAAGAGCTGAGCTTCCAGGCAATGCGCCTTTTTTTGACTCCTTTTGGCTGGTATTTGAGTGCACACCAAAACCAAACCGCTGGCCATTTTTCGGGACGGTTCCTATTTCAGCTGTCAGGCAGAGAGGGACAATATGGAGGCAGCGCAGGAGCGCTACAGTGCCTCGCTCGCCGAGGCAGGTTGTAAAAGTCCTTGGATTTGAACAAAGGTACCGATGGGTGAACTGCGTAGTTCAATGGGGATGCACATGTCAATGTGCGAAGATTCTTTCTGCAACTTCGCCGGGATATTGGGACACCAAGCCAATTTAGGAGCCCCGGACCGCTGATAGGCACGAGAGGAGTCGCACAGGGCCAAGGATGAGTGCGAGGAGCGGCAGCGCGTGCTCGACGAGATGTCTCGAGAGCTACAGGAGCGTGGCTCGGTACGGAGAGGCCGAAGGGAAATCGTGTCATGCGACCTGTGGGACAAAGAGCCGATCGATACGGGCTTATATTTGGGATGATGCTTGTCATCCGTCATGGCGCACCGTTTTCCTTGTCTGGCACAGTTCTCTCAATCCACCCGTTCTTCTATTAGAGTGCATTTGGTTTTACGCCCGAGGCGTTTGGGCACCGAGTCTACCCATTGGCAACCCCCGAAACCTTTGGGCGCCTTTCTCTGTCGGCTCTGAGGCAAGCGCCAGGGCCAGGCGTTGGCCAAGGAGGCGGACACGGCGCACAACCGAAAGCTCCGGCATGAGACCGAGGGCCGGGAGCTGCGCCGCAAGAAGGCGACTCCCGGGGCCCGGACTCAGCGAGTTTGTGGGGGCGGGGGGGGGGGGTTGCGAGCGCTCATTTTGTGGTCTTCGCTTTTTTTCTCCCCCTTTCTCTTTTTTTTTTTTGCGTGTTTGTCTTTTCGTTTCTTTTTTCTTTTGGGGGGGGGGTGGGGGGAGGTTGGAGCTCAGGGTGTAGGTTTGATGCTTCCTTTAAGAGGTGGTTTAGCTTGGCAAATTGGATTTCTACGCTTCATAGTGGACATCAGGGTTCCCTTTGTGTTCCTTTCCTTTTTCAAACAGCAATGCTCATTTACTCCTCTGCACTTCCACACGGAGCCCAACAATCCTCTTTTTTGAGGCTCGCTTTTTCGTTTGGCCCTCCATTTCTCGGGGCGGGGGCGTTTCCCTCGGTTGCGGGGAAATCCGACTCGAGCCAGCAACAGGCCAGCCTGGAGCGGAGCCTGGGCCGCAAGCCCGCGCCCTATGGCGACGGAGCTGCGGAGCGGGGGGGCCCAAAGCCGCGAAGCGCGGATGGGTAGCTCGATTTTATGTCGCGGATCCCCAAAATGGTTGGTTTCCCTATAATTTCCCTATGGTTTCCCTATGGTTTCCCTTTGGTTTCCTCTTTAAAACCGGCTTTAAGCGGGGGTTCCCTAAAGAAGCAGATCAAGGCTGTGTTGTTTTTTGGGAGGCGAAGGATACCCATGTTTGGGTGTGTCAAGCCAATTTGAACTGAAGCCCATCAAGGTGGGTTCCCCTTTCTTTTGGTTGGCTAGTTCTCCGTCCAGTCAAGTATCTAGAATCTCCCCAAGACTTGGCAAGTAAACAAAAATCGACTGCCCGTAAATAGCCCAGTTTGAGCGCAGAGAACACATCGCTGACCATAGCCGAGGCCTGGACGGTTAACCCCCGGAACCCCATGGTTGATTTATAGGGGGTAGTTGGTACACTGAATTTGTTGCGCTTTGCACACAACACTTGGCCCCCAAGCCACACTTGGCGCCGAATATCTTGAAGGAAACAATGGGTTTAGATAGGGGCCTTCAAAATCGTGTTTTTGTCTGTTGTTTTCCAGCGGAACACTCCTCTTGTTTTCACTTCCACACCCCAAACGGGTAACCTTGAAACAACATAAGTCAAGTTACGTGGTAGTGTTTTTTTTTGGAGCCCCTCCATGTTTGGTTGTTCCCACGGGTTTCAACCCGAAACACGAGCAGCGCCCAAAACCCTCATTGATTATTTTGGTAGGTTTTGCAGGGCCAAACAACACCTTTACAACCACGATAGAATCAAAAGATGGCAGGCCCTCTGTTTTGTAGGTGTTTAAAGGGAAGCCAAAAGGACATCACACATGCTAGGGGACCCGTTCTTATTTTGAGAGCCGTGTGAACCGATTCCTATTTGGGGGCGTCTTAAAATAGGGGACATCCAAAATGGTGGTTTCCTGTTTGGTGTCCCTTGGCACCCAGAAAGACCGACCCACGCACCCCCACCCCCACCCCCCGCACACCCACCCACACACCCACACCCACACCCACACCCACACCCACACCCACACCACACGCACACGCCCACGCGCACACGCACATGCAGGCGCAGATGCACATGCACACCCACGCACGCGCACACGCACACGCACACGCACACGCACACGCACACGCACACGCACACGCACACGCACACGCACACGCACACGCACACGCACACGCACACGCACACGCACGCACACGCACACGCACACGCACACGCACACGCACACGCACACGCACACGCACACGCACACGCACACGCACACGCACACGCACACGCACACGCACACGCACACGCACACGCACACGCACACGCACACGTACACACACACAGACACACACGCACACGCACACGCACACGTACACGCTCATGCACACACGTTCAGAACCCCCAAACAAAAGGACGACTCCTCAAACGAGGGGTCCGTCCCAAAAACGAGGCGCGCGGTGGCGTCGCTCTCGGAGGACCTGCGCCAGGTGCTGGCGCACCTGGAGACCACGCGAGGCGATGGATTTTTGGTTGGCTTTCCTTTGAACAGCCTCAAAATAGGCACCCTCCAAAAAAAGAGAGACCCATAATCTGGGTTTGTCTCAGCCTAAGGACCCCTCAAACAAAATGGTGGGTCCTTTGTCTTGAGATACGCCCTGTGAGTTGCGTGCGGAGCATGCCTCCTTTGCAGGTTCCACTCCTCATCTTTCTGCTTGCGGGTTGGGCCTTCGTCAGACAATCAGATTGGTAGCGGAGCCGCTCCCATCCCGGTGCAGATGCCGGAAACATTTGTGCAACCGCTCAGCTTGACTCTGAGCAGACCCGGGCCAGCTTCATCCCGCTCTTCACTGGGCAGCCACGGGACTAGAAAGAATGGAAGAGGCAATCGCCATTCCCAAGCGGACCAAGGAATCGGCCTACAACCTCCTGGGCTCCCACACTGGAGCTCCTTGGAAGGTGGTTGAGCGCGTTGAAGATGGCCAGATCCTGGTCCTCCTCAAACAGCCGCAGCGTCGACGTGGCAAAGACTCCTTGAGCTATGTCGCTGAGCAGGACGATGTCTCTGAGGTGAAGCTGAGGCGGGGTCAACAGCGCCTCATCATGACCCAGGTCCGCAAGACCAGGTCGTTGAAGCGTGGCAACCTACAGACACCGCGTACCACGACAATCACCAGCCCAGCGCTTGTCTTCAACCAACTTCAATGGTATTGCGCAAGCTGACATCATGTGGCTGAAGCTTGGCCCCAACACCATCAGCACGGTCTGTAGTGCGACGCGCTACATAGTCGCTTCATTCGCCTTGCAGAAAAGCTGCACCAGACACTTTGGCCCGATGCAGGGCTCGTCAATCTCACCTGGAGAAGCTCACACCTTTCTTGGGGTTGTCGAACAGTGTCTTCGCCGATGCGGGGCGAACTCACGCTTTCTTGTGGCAGCCGGCGAAAGTCGAACCCAACTCTTTGGCGCAAATCTCGGGTGCCGTTGCGGTTGTCGCAGAGCCGAGGGGCCAACTCAGTGCTAGCGCCCAGACAAGCGACGCCCCCCCCCCCCGCAATCCAACTTCCGTAGTGAATTTCCACCATGTCCTTGCCAAAGTCACGGACGTTTTTCGAGGGAGAGGGTTGAGGGGTGCAGTTGCCAAAATGGGCGATCGCCGTCACCTCTGCGACGCGTGAATGTTTCTCCCCAACAGCTGAAAGCTTTGGGGTCTGAGCTCAGATAGGCTCCGGGGCAGCTCTGAGGTAAGGCTCCGCAGGGTGCGAGGATTCCGCAGGGTTCCGCGAGGGTTTTGCAGGGTTCCGCAAAGGTCCTGCTGCAGGTTTCTGCGAGGGCTCTGGGGTGGTCCGGGGCGGCTCTGCGGCAAGGTTTAGCAGGGTTCCGTGAGGTCAGGTTTCTCTGTGGGGGATATCACCTGAGCTTATTGATGTGTGTCTATCTCGCTTTGCCAATGCCTTGTTTCAACCAAGAGTTCTTGGCTGTTGCTGGCAGCGTTTTCCGCTCTGCCAACCCATCCAAACTGTTCCAAGAAAATTGGAAGACCCCGAAGCGTCCTACGGCAAACCTGTTGGCGCTCCTGCTTCATGCCTTCTGATAGTCTCATGACAGGTTTTGGGCTTTCAGGTTTGGTGCAGTTGCTTTGCCGTTCTCCGGGCGGTCGCTTGCCCTGCGCTCCAGGCGAGCTGGCGCTGAAAAAGCGATCTCTACAAGAGAGGCGCTCCTTGGTGGAGGATCGCGAGCAGCGCTGCCTGCAGCTCACAGAGGACAGGGCAGGGCGGGAGTGCGCTTTCCATGGGCGAAAGTTTGACTGCCGGCGCAGGATCTGACCTCCGAGAGGAATCGCTCGGATGAAATGCAGCGTGCCCTTGCAGGATTTGTATTCCCAGTGTGACAATAGCCGAAACTTGTATCAAGCTCTGTCGCCTTAACCCATGAAGGTAGGACGTTTGTCAAGAGCCTGGCGCACCAAGGTGTCTTGCTCCGCTTGGAGCAGGGTCTTTGAGGAGTTGGAAGACAGATCTTCCGCCAGCTGCACAACGTATGCTGGCCACTGTCTCTCCAATATCTTGCGGGCCGAAGATCGGCTAGAAAAAGCTGGAGTTGCTCAAGATGATAGGCTTTTTCTCACCTGTGTTTCCTGCGAATTGAATTGTCAGGCACAGGCTATGGTGAATACCCTCTCGCAGGAGGCTGCAGTCAGCTACTTAGTGGATGATGTTCCTGATGCTGCCAATATGATTCAAATCTTTGACGATTTCGCATGTCACTCAACTACCCCCAATACGTTCTGTTTCGGACTTGGATCGACGTTTTGGTGGTGCTTCAGTGGATGCTTGTCATATATATATATATATATATGGCAACATCATGGCAACATTGCCTGATTCGGCTAATATCTTTGTACCATTGTGACTTGAGTGTGTCAAGTCAAACGGCAGGCAGCAGTGTGACTTTTGCAGGCTGCATTGCTCAGCGAGTTGGAGTCGAAAATGGCAACCGCCAGAGGCCCAGATGGATCATTCCATTAGGCGCCGTTGTGGTGTGTCTTTTGTTAGGGACCCCCCCCCCCCGCCAAAACACAAACACGACAAGGAAAATATGGCGTTCCTTTCGGTTTCCCTTCAAAACAACTCCAAAAGGGTGCTGTGCTGCTTGCAATTGTTTGGTAACTCTTGCTGATTTCTCTAAGCCAGCCATACCGGCACGCGCACTTGTTTTACATGTATATACATATATATATATATATATGTTTATGTATATGTATATATGTATGAATGTATATACGTATGTATGTGTATATGTATATATGTATATAAGTATATATGTATATATGTATATATGTATATATGTATATATGTATATATGTATATATGTAACACAGTGTTTATTTGCATTTTGTGTTGCACAGCAACAGAGGTTGTGGGGTGGCAGGGGGACCATAGCTCACCCCCCTCCCATAAACTACCTTGGTAGCATATTCTGTAGCCAAAGAGCTAAACAACTCGTGTGGGGACTTATCAAGCTCCATTTGAATTGCAATTCACTTTGTTTCTTATCATATATGGAAAGAAATTCCTTTTTTAAATTCAACATCGAAATAGACATTCAATATCGGTTTACATTGTATTTACCTTGAATTAGCATCTTCTTGGAACATATTTCCTACTTAAATTCTAAGCCATTATAGACATGCAAATTCAGTTATGTCCTTCTTCAGTTCTATCCAACTTCAATCTTAATGTTCATTTGATGTCCAATCAAATAGACTTCACATTTAGATTCTAATTAACTGAGTAGTTATGGTTGACGTATTCCCTTGTTAAGCTACCATGTGACTCTACTAGTTACTATTTATTTCACACATATGCGGAAGGGAGTTCCCCTTCAATTATCATTAAACGAAATTATGATTGAATTCTTTGGGTATCGAATTCCATTGACATTCTAGTCAAACTTCAATCTGGCATAAGGAGCTTCATAAGGAGCTCATAAGGAGCCTTATACGAGCTTTTCAAGGAGCCGTATGAGTAGGTTTACAATGAGCGTTCCAAGAAGGTTTGTAAGCGTCTTTACAAGGAATTGCACAATGAGCCTTTTTTTAAAGGAGCCTTAAACAGAGCTTGATAATATTCGTTTCTTAAATATAAGGAGTCGTTTATGGGGGTTTATACTTAGGTTTGCAGGGAGCTTTATAAAGAGCTTTATGAAGAGCCTTCAAGGAGTCTTATAAGCAGCTTTACAGGTGAGCTTCAAACGGAGCTTTGCAAGCAGCTTTGTAAGGAATTGTGCAAGAAGCCTTTTACGGAGCTTCTTTTTTTTTTTTTTAAACGAACCTTTTCATTAAGGATCCTTGTCATGTCATTGGGGAGTCTTGCAAGCAGCACAAGGAGCCTTCTTAGCTTCACAACGAGCCTAAGGAGCCCTTCAAGGAGCTTTATAGCAGCTGAAGGCGTGAAAAAAAGGCGTGGAATTCTATTTCAGAATCGAACATCTAGTTCGATTTGGCCCTTAAGCGTAATTACATGCTAAGTATTTCAATTATCTCTCATATTATGTGCTTCATCTTCTCTAGTGTTTTTGTCATACAGTTATTAGAATATGTCTAAAACTGAGGGGTTTTGCCAACGTTTCAACCTTTTCCGTTGTTCCTTTTGTTTGTCAAACAATCAGGCACAGCAACAGAGGTAGTTCATGGGCGGGGGGTGGCCCATGTATATATATATATGTATGCCTGCACACACCTCAGTGTTTTGTCCAGGATGCCTCTCGTACGAGCAACTTTCAGTTAAGCGCGATACATATATATATATATATATATATTAATATATATTAATATATATATATATATATATGTATGATCTGTGCGCGTGATCCCGAGGCGAGACCGTATTATTTCATAGCGGAATAGTCGATCAATGAGCTGACATTTTGTGGAACGTTGCACGCAACTGCCTCTCGATCTTCCTATCAACACCTTGGGAACAGAGTGCCATGATTGGAAACGCGCAAAATCGAAGACAGCAAAGAGGGATTAGCTCTTCCAATCTGCTTCCGTGTGAGCGAGGTCTGAACACCAGCGCCCCGCCCAGGTCAACAATCCTTCTGCTTTCGTTTGTAGCCAAGCTCGACGTGGGCATCCCAGTCGAAGCTACGTCAGAGATCGATCGGTTGCTTTGAGAAGCCGAGGTTACAGAAGATATGGCCAGGAGCGCCCCTTTCTTGCTCGCCTGCATGGCCTCCAGCGCATGAAATTTATTACTAAGATGTGTCTTGCGCGCGAGTCAGAACTTCTTTGCTTGATCTCCTTGCCCGGGAAGCGTAAGGATTTCATTGGCTCTTGCTTTTGGCGACGCGTTTCAATCCGTCGAATTGCTTGATCAATTTGAGTAGACGTCTCTGATAGACGCTGAGTAGCTTGTGTCATGGCCGGTCGACCTGGAGCGTCTGGTAAGATTTTGAGAAGTTGCCCCAGATACAAGATGGAACGAGGTATTCTCTGGACAGGAAGAATGAGACAACTCGCCAATGGACCATTGATGTGATGCTTTCGACTTTGCATGGAGTTGGTCTTCTTGCAGATACTGTCATGTTGGAGAAAGGCCGTGGCATTGGGCATAAATGGCATAAGCGGGAAACATCTAGCAAAACAGATAAGAAAAGGTGAGTCGACTTCACGAGTACTGGTTGAACTTACAGGTGCAAGGTTAGAAACAATTCGCCGATAATTTGATTCCAATTCCATAAAATGCTGCTTCATCTTCTGGACAAACATCAAATTGATAATTCGAATCTGAGAAGCACTGTCCAACAGCCTCGAACTGGCGACCCTTCCCCCGATTTTGTTGGCAGCCACAAGGGAGGTAACAGGCAAAAGACAGGCGAAGCGAGCGTGTGCAGAAACTCGTTTGCCCTGCCGCTCGGCTCCGGGTCTGTCTAGCTTGTGGGCTAGCTGCTAACGCAGATCACTAGGATAAGAGATCGAAGGGCGGTGATTCAAAGCTCCCTGCCATGGGCTGCGATTGATCGCATGGCTCCTTCGAACGCGGGGTTCTTAGATGTGCCTTGAGTCCTTCAGTTCCCATTGCACTTCGAGATCCTGTGAACTCTAAAGCCAATGCTGGACTCATGAGTCCCATGACCGGGCTTGGATATGTCTTCTGCTTGAGGACAGGTGGGCAGAAAAACGAACAGACTTTGGAGGCGGTCTGTCGGACGGCGAGACTGAGAGCTCGCCCCTTGGAACGCATAGAATGCACTCTTTGAGCAATTTGATAATCACATGTCTAGGGATATATGTGTTGCAAACGTGCTGATTCTTACACGGCCAATTGTATAAAGCAAAGGAGGAAACACCACTTGACATTGAGGTTGCATGTAAGCATGAGTATTTTAGTTTGGATGGGCCCTTGTCCAAATCTTGCGCTGATGGCCGCGAAGCAAGTATGCCATTCTCCTGGATTGCAACTGTTCCAGAGGCTAAGCGTGCTGCAGCGGATGCAATGCGGGCAACAGGTTTTGGACGGAAACGGTTGAACCGTCGATTGCACATCTGCAAAAGCCTGGCTGCCAAATGCTCTCCTCGTGGCGTTTTACAGCGGAAAAACTGGACTGACATCTGTAGAGCTGAGAAGTGTTGCAAACAAGACTGTCAGTTGTCAGTGGCGATTCATGTTTCGAGGTAAGCTGAATGTCTCGCATGAAACACTTCCCGCAGTGGCTTGAAGATGTCCTGGGGTCATTCACTCAGGATGGAAGACACTAGCGGGCCGAGCAGCCGGCCGAGCACTGCAAATGGCCCTGGCCGGCCAACCACGGCCCCGGCTCTGCCGGGCCAACCGCCCTTACCAGAATTGGGCACTTTGGACATGGTGGATGAGGCGCACTGGACGGTCGTCGAATATGGCGGGAACGCAGGGCGCATCGGTGTGCTTGGAATTTTGGACCAGGTTTGTGTGGTGCATGTTCTTGGGAAGAAAAGTCGCATGAGGGAGCTTATCGACTCCCCAGGAAGCCAACCTCCCAGAGTGCATCGCTCGAAAGACATGCGCAAGTTTGCTGAACGCTACACAGTTGCTGGAGAATGTGACAGTACATGCATGGAGGGCTGGATCCATTTGGAACCTGACATGCCAACATTGTCCTCTCATGCCACGTATTGATCGTTTTGTAGAAGTGCATGGGCCTGTGCCGCTCCAAACTGGGGCATCAGAAAACGCAGCGAAACGCGGTGAAGCGCAGGTGATGTGCAACCCACATAGATGAAACCAATCAGGAGATTACGTAAGTGGTACATGTGCAGGTCAAGCCGTGTGTTTTGCGTGTTCCCAAAACGAAGTCCCGTCCATCGATTGCTGGATTTGGATGGGATACGTTTACGATGTTCTACTTGAAGGAAATGCATGTCGTCCTGCGCTTTAGAGCTGTTTGCCCGCTGCAAACCGCAAAATAGGTGCCCGTGGAATTTGTGTCGATAACGTTGAACAGTTGCAAAACATGAGGAAGTAATCTGGAAGGAGCCACTTTCCCATTGGTCTGGCAAGCAGTTTGATCCACAGTCAAAATACGATCCTAACTTGGGATTGTCCATTTTGCATTTTCCACCGGCTCTGAGAGACCGGTCTTTTTTCTTGATCCTTGTAAGTTAACGTAAGTCTTTGATTCTGGACGAGTTGAGGGTTGTTCCTTGAGACGACTTGATCATTACGTTTAAATCTGAGGATAAGACTGCGATGCAGATTGTGTCCCGGTTCCTGGCTCTAGAGCGCCGCACGGACGCGCGTGCAAAAACACATGAACCACACAATGAGGCAACGTGCGCTGAAGAGGCTGCAAAGGCGTGTACGCGAAACACGGCGCACCGTAGCTGTAGTTTAACGCGTTGGGCGGAAGGAAGCAATTAGGCATGTGTACCCACTTTTTTGAAGTCGCTGACAGGCTTCCAGTGATCAGGGTCTTCTGCTCAAAGCAGAGTTTGAGTCCTGACTGGGTCACTCGTTTTACAGAGGGTTTTGCTTCGGAATATCCGGAGGCTGGCAACTGTTTGTCAGGCAATGCAGGATATGAAGGAAGAAGATGCAGAGGACCCCGCTTTGATCGCTTTCTTGACTACTGGAAGATTCTTTTTGTCTTGCAAATTTCTTCGGAGTAACTAAGTAATTAGCAGGCCGACACCAGTGCTACTCTTTCAATGCTCACGGGAATCCTGCACCTGGGGACTAGGAGGTACCCACACTACCTTCGGCATTTGATTTGCTTCACTAATGCACGGCTGCAAACACGTCTGGCCTCACCAGTCTCTTTGATCCTTTCGACTCTAGCTTTCCTGGATATCTTTGCTCAGTGCTCATTGCTCGCCCGATCCCTATACTGCTTAAGGCTCGGCTGGTATGTCCCCTCCTGCCAGCCTCCCTTTCAGTTCCCTGCTGGCCCTTCCAACGAAATTTCTCATGTTTGCGGCCTTGAAATTTGGCTGCCGTGAGTGGGCGCGTTGGCAGCAGTGTCACAACTCCCGCGCCATTCTTTGCTTCCACCCTATCTTGCACACCCCATCGATGTTGCGACCGTTTGCCAGATGAGCAGATTTGGATCATTGTAGTACAGCAAATAAGCGAAGCCCCGAAGCGGCATTTGCGCATGACATGCCATGCACTGATTGGTGGTGGGCTGGGTACGTGCCATTTTGGCTCAAGCCCATGCCCACCACCTTTGCGAGTTTCGGACATGTGGCTGTTGGTGCTCCTCGCGCTCAGCCTGGAGCTCCTTCATGGTCTTCCCTGCCGAGGCCGAAGCTTTGGCGATGACCCGGCTTTCGGATCTCCGGGCCTTCTACCGCGTTGCGCCGGAGGTTTGGGCGGCGGTGGTTTCAACGCTGGGCGACCCGGCGGAGGACTTGCGTCCGTTTGCAGCGGTACCACCGGCTGCATTGGCCATGGCTTGCGAGACGGCCGAGATCCAGGGGCCGCGATGACGGCCATTCAGGCTTCGCAGGTGGGGCTTACCTACAGGTTGGCGAGGAGGATCTGTCATGTAAGAGCCGGGGGCAGTTGGAGTTTGTGGGAGGACCCGAACCCCTGGGAATCTGCGTTGACTCCGACAGGGACAAGTTCGGGAACCCCAGGAGCAACGAAACTGGAACCAAAGATGAAGATGACCCACGTCTTAGATCAGGCGGACGAGACCGAATTCATGGTCGAGCCGGAGGAGACGAGGGCGAAATGGGTCACACAGTACGTCTCCCTAACAGGAGGCCTGCCCCCGGAGGAGGAGGAACCTTCAATGGAACAGCTGTCAGCCCTGAGTCGAAGAGTCTTTTCGCTCAAGGGAGCACCTTATGCGGACTTCTCGGTGTGGGTTCCCTACGGCAGGTTCAGGTCCTATGTAGCGACGCTGGAGGGCTTCGTGACGAAGGAACTGGCTGGACCCACCAATTTCGAGATGTGGCAGGCCAGTTTTCGGGTGTACCGCACGGCCATGGTGATGCTGAACATCACCCCGTTGGCGCACCTCAATGCCTACGAGACTCACATAGAGAAGATGGTGCACTTCTACCCGGGCTGCTGGCACCTCATTGTGCAAGCGGACGACAGAGCAAGGTCAGAGCACCTCACCCGTCTGAAGCTGAGGGTCACCGTGGGCAGGAGCTTGGGTTTGGACCAGCCCAAGCGCTACAGCGACGACAACCCGTGGCAGACCCTCTTCACGGTGCTCATCGACGACGACAGGTGCTGGTCAGACCAGGTCTACACCCCGGCCACTGCGTGGTTAGCCCAAGGAGGTCGGGGAGTACCAGTCTCCCCAGCAGAACAAACAGCAAGACCCCCTTCTACCCGGAACGCGGAGCAGTCAGGTGGAGGCTCTTCATCACGGACCATCTCCGCAAGGGAAGGGGGGAGGTCAAGGAAGAAACGGAGAGGCGAGGCGAGGCAGGACCCAGGAAGGCAGGTAGGGCAGGCGCGGGGCGGGGACTCTCCCTCCAAGAGGAAGGGCAAGGGTGCGAAGGGGAATGCCAAGTGCTTCGCGTGGAACAATGGGAATGGGCCTTGTGCAGATGTCCCGCCCGGTGGAGCTTGTGTGGCTCAAATCAAGCGCGAACACAAGTGTACCATTTGCAACTCCCCTGGTCACCCTTCCCGGAATTGCCCCTCGAAGAAGTAAGGTTTGGCCCTCATCCGCAGCCTAGTCACGAAGGAATCAAGGGCGCCTCCTA